GCTTGTCTCCATATTAGTTCTTTTCCATCTGCTTAACGTAAATCAACAAAACTCTGATCGGGAGAACATTTTTCTAACCTTTATCGACTGCCTAAGCACACTTATGCAGAAAAAAACAAAACCTAAAAAGGGTGTGGATGTAGATGAAAAAAATACCCACACTCACATATTTGCTTAACCACCACATTACTTGATAATATTGAATTAATACATTCTAAAATCGAAATGATTAATAATTTACATGAAAATGAAACAGCTTATTCAATGTTAGATCAATCAATGCTCATTGTAAGATATTAAAATGTACTCTTGAGTCAATTGATCATGATTCAGAAGAATTGCAACTTATTGAGCAATATATGATAAGTACTCATGCTAAAACTCATGACCAATATACATTAAAATGATATGAATTATTTAAAACGCCACGCCAAGGAGAATTTAATCGTTTTAAGAAATTTCAAATACTTAGTAATGTTCAATTATTATGGTATGGTTCACTAATAGCTGATTTCACTGATATTCTTCGTCAAGGTTTACGAGTTTCACTACCTGAAGCATCAGTTGCACATTTGACATTTTTTAAAATAAATAACCTATGATGCAAAAATAATTATCGAAATGTCGACCTATAGTTATTCGCTTAGAAGCATCGTAGAAAATTGATTCTGTTTCCAGTTGACAGAACAAAATGTGAGCACAGCATTTAAAAATAGACAAACATTTTTCAGGTTAACTATCAATAAGCAAAACAATTTGATATCAAACAATGTCAAAAACAGCTTCTGTAACATATACTTTTTTCCTCATATTTTTTTCTCAAGTTAGAAGAACACTTTTTTCTTGAAAACTAAATAAGAAAGTATTTCTTACAAAATTTTATCGACGTTCGTAATTGAGAAGATTTTTCGGTAATTCTTTAACTGCCAATAAAATGTAGTATACATTTTAGTTTTCATTGAAAGAACTATTCTGCATAGGACATATAGGGCATGAAGAAAAATCTGTTATTCGAAACTTAAACATATTAATAAAGACTAATAATAATTTAAATTTCTCAAGAATTGTATGCCGTTTCAACAAAAATCTTTTGAAAAAGAAAAGGTGGAAATTCATGCAGTATCTGGAAACTATTGTGATAGTCAGATGATTTATTTTGTGAAATTAATGAAAAACTTGGAAAGTTTCGATCTTAAAATAGAGTAAAACGTAATTTATTATGTCTCATTTGAAAGGTTTATAAAAATACTTTTAGCTTCTATAATTATACGTATAATTTCAAATGCGAGATACGTCTGAAGAGAACGCAAGTCGGAAGAATTCTTTTGGAGACATTTAGTATCAACCCTTTTTCTCACTCAAAGTTAATCAAAAGCATTTGTTTTCTATATCTTCTGAAACTAACCTTGTGCTCTATCAACCAGAAAAAAAGAACTCTCCACAATATTTCTGATCGAAGAATCATAAGTCGAGGTTTTGGCACTGACTTTTGTATCGTAGGTTATTCGTTTTAAAAATCGTATTTTAGACTGGTTATATGTTTGGTAAAGATGTTTACTTTACTGACATAGTTTCAAAATGTAATAAATTTATATTTTATTTATTTAAATTTAACCTATAGTAAATTTATTTAGCAAATTATTGTTGGGCATCAAAGCAACCTTCTGAAAGATAAATGCTTTTGTGTGAAGTTGCACTGGGAAAGATGTTTGAATGTTATAAAGCAAGAAGTTTGCCTGCATCAACTTTACCAATTCTCACTCACTCAACAAAAGGTTGTGGATCAACTGTGCTGGATCCAAAAAGTTAAATTTTTTTTTGTTAAATAGAATATTATTATACAAATGGTGATGTACTCATATCAATTGATCATGATGTTCTATCAGTTGTTGGACCAGCTTGATTATTGTACAACGAATATGTCGTCTATGACACCGAGTAAATCAACATGAAATATCTGCTATTCGGTACGATAATGATGTTATGCGTCTCTGTTCGAAATTGTATATTAACATGCATCATGAAACAAGTCTTATACATTAGTATAGAGATTTTCATCGAGAAACAAAACTTACGATTGATATTCGAAAGTTTAATGATCCTGATAATTTATTACAAGAGTTTGCTCGATTCGCACAACTGAGGAAGGACTTTAATCTTTGAATAATAAACTGTATCAACAATATTCACAACTTTATCAATCTCGTGGACAAAATTTTCAATATCAACGACAGTATTAGCAGAACCTATCTAATTATGATGATTGAATAGGTTTTAAAGATTTTTATAACGAATGATCATCATCTTGCATGTAACTAACTTTTTATTTTAGCGTTAATCATAGGAAAAATATCAGATGTCATCAACGATGATTTTACTTAGTTGATACTTTGTGCTTCAAAAAGAGAGCTGTAATATCATCACGTGATGCCATCAAATGCGATGGTAATATTGATGTCTCAATAAGAACACTAAGTTCAAACATGTTCATTGATTGCTCGTCTATAAGAATAAATTTACTTTCTGCTTGAAATGGAACTATTTCCGACTTTTGGGGAATACTATCCAGCTCTCCCACAGTCGTAGACAAAAGTCCCGCAGTTAGCCAACAATTATGCAAATAAGGGCTGTTTGACTTGAAACTTTTATCACAAGTAGAGCTTAACGAATCCTGATTGCAGGCATAACTTCAAGGTCTATCCTCTTAGTTATGCTTTGATAGAAGGCCAACATTAAGAAATTTTCATATTCTATTATCTCAAACTAGAAATGAGATGGAAAGGCGTTCAACTTACCATTGAAAAGCTCGGCTCTTGCTATTTTTCTAATTAAATGTTCATTGCAAATAGATGTTTCTTTGTTAACTTATGAATCATTCTCCATTAACCTGCCGAAATAAAAAAAAAATAAGTCTGCTCATATTTGACTCGAATGTTGGGTTAGACTCAATCGTTGGCATTTAAATTTGTATCATATAAAGATTGGACTGCACTCAGCCCTTTCCTGAAATTTTCCGATTCATATTTGTTAGGAACATGAAGATCCATAACATTCTATCACTCAAAATCGATAATTCTCGAAAATCTTTAAATCAAAGCAGAACTATCTATTGCAGTAAAAATATCATTCTGATTCTATTAAACACAAAAGAAAGCAGCATAACCTTTGGCTATCGCTATTTCTCGCTTACGAGTGAAAAAACACAGACTCTACTCGATTGTTCAAAAAACTTGTTTTTCATTATATTCAGTTAGAAGCGGTGTTTCTCCTCATCTTCAAAAGAAAATTTCGTCTTGATCTACTAGTCAAACTCTTTTGTATTTCACCCAAGTTCAATCGAAAAATTTTTATCAAATCATTCACACGTACTAAGATAATGTGCTACAATGAAGAAGTATGTAATAACATGATTTTTTTATAGTACAAAGACAAGAAGCATCTGAAATGGTGTTTTTGAGGTGAGAAGAAACGCCGCTTCCAAAGTTGGTGAGATGTAATGAATTTTGTTTCAACTGAATATAATGAAAAACAAGTTTTTTGAACAATCGAGTAAATCTGTGTTTTTTTCACTCGTAAGCGAGAAATAGTGATAGCCAAAGGTTATGTTGCTTTCTTTTGTGTTTAATAGAATCAGAATGATATTTTTACTGCAATAGATANCGAACTGCTTTATTTCACTAATTCTTCTCCTTTTATAGTTACATTCCCCTGCTTCGGGGCACGTCAATCAACCGGAGAGAAGGGAAGAGAACACGACAAAAAGGAAGAGAGACACATGTCAAACAGGATAGATGAATTTGAACACATAATAGATATTATCAGTGTGTATAGAGAAAAGAGTCGTTATGTACATTAATTAAGATAGAGCGAGTGCTTATATCGGCACAGGTGTAGTTCGTCGAACTGAATTCTGTGGATGAGATGAAGCCATCGGTGGTCGAAGACCACTTGGTGCTGATGGTTGTAAGCCACTTAAAAAAGATATAACAATTCATAAATAGTAAGGAAAGACTGATAACAAGGTATGATATCACTAATAAAAGAAAAAAGACATACCTCGAGCGAATGGCTGACGGCGGACGAAGCATTATCCAAAAATATCACTTGAGATTAATGATCGATCGAAAGCATATCGAAACAAAGGTCTTTGTCTCATTGAATGTCACGCTTGAAAATCAATTAAAAATCTTTTCAATATATGAATTTTCTTTTATTTAAAGAGTGCGTGAGTGTGAGTGTTTATATCAATTAAATTCCCATCCACACCCACATCCTAGATAATGCAAATCGAGAAGAATTTTTTCAACTATGATCTGAACATATTCCATTAAATATCATTGATAATAATCCATCATTAAAATCACTTGAATTTTTAGTTTATGCTCATTTTTCTATCTATTGTTTGTGTTCAAATATATCAAATAAAGTATTTTATTTCTAAGAGTCTTTTTTTTTCTTTATTAATATATAATATTTATGATTATTTAGAATGAAAAACTTGCTCAAGAAAATATGTATGAATTTAAACTATACATTGAATCAATTAAAGGTCAAAGTATATCACAAACAAGTGATATATTATCTTTATTTGCTTTACCTTATGTTATGAAACCAGGAAAAAATGTTTCATTTCAAGAGTTATTTTCAGTTTGTTTTAAATTCTTTTTTCTTTTGAAGAAATTTTTATTTTTTATTTTTCTATCAGGATAAATGGTCTATACAACTGCGAACAAAAGAAAGTATCAAATTTTCTTGATTGGATTTTTTCGAGTAGATCATTACCAAGTCTTCTTGAATTATTACAAAATGGTGAAAGTGCATTTGCATTTTTTATCACAATTAAATAATGAAAATGAAGCACTTAAATATCGAAATAGATAAACAAAGAGATATATTATTAAACATATAAGTACAGATTATTGTAATTTAATTAGTAAGTTACATTTAAATAAATATGTTCTCCTTACTTTATTTACTATTATTATTTTGAAGATATGACAATGAAATTAGTTGAAACATTACAAAAAGCTGTTTTAGGACGACCTATAACAAATGAATATATTGATAATGTATGTGCACGACTTGATCTAACAAGATTACATGAATCAATGTTTATTGCACCAGATTCTGCTCGATTAGGGTAATAATATATTGTAGTAAAAAGTTGTTTCTTTTCAAATTTTTGGCATATCCATCAATAGGATTTTATACATTATAGAGTATAGACTGGGATAATGGAATATGATGAAAGAAAATCAAAAATTAGTATAAAAGTCTCAACTTTCTCTGAATAATTTTCATCAAAAAATAGTTCATACGTCTTTAGTTAAAGTTGTATTTTTCAAGGGAAAAATTCATAGATTCGAGAATATGTTTAATGAGACAAAAAAGTTGATTGGATAACTTGTTTTTATTATAGAATGGATGATCCATTAACAGAAAAAATAGATTATGGTAAAATAAAACGAGATATTGTACATATATCAACTAGCTCACGCGAAAAAACTCTTTTATTTCAAGCACTTCGTTGGAAATTAACAAAAGCTAAAACAGATTTTAAATGTGAAAAAATACTTGAATGTTTTATTGGTTGTCGTTCTGATATTGAACAACGAACAAAAATAATTAAACAATTATCATCAAAAACAACAGATAATAATACATATTATGTTAATGAAGAACGGGTTCGTTTAATTAATACAATTGTTTCATTAAGAAAAGGTTGAAAAGAAAAGAAAAATCCTGTAGTTTCTATTGACTATTTTTATTTAAATAAAATAAAATAAAATTTAAAAAGATCGAAATTATTTGACATCAAATGAATCATTAATTATTTGTATGCAAAAAGCATCTATGTCAGAATCATCAGATATACATATTAAACAACATTTATTAGCAACATTACAAAAACTTTGTCTTAAATATAGAAATATTTTGTACTGAATATAATTATTTTTAAATTTCATTTTGTTTTTTTAGGCGATCCGTACAATCTTTACTCATTAATCAAAATACAATTAAATGGTTAATACCATTATTAAGTAAAAACCGATCGTTTATCTGATTATACTCTAAGTAAATATGTTTATTCATAGTGTATTTTTCTTATATTAATATGTAATGGTTTTACTTTTCTATTATATTTTACAAGTTTATTCGAATGAATAATTATGTATAAAAAAACATATTCGATTAATTAATACTTATCTACCAAAAAACAAAGTACATAATAAAAAAAAAAAGTTTTGTCGTTTATGAATGATCAGACATCAAATTATCTTCTCATGCATTTATCTGAATTTTGATCTTTCTAATGAAAATAGACTGTTTTTTTGTAGAAGTTTAACTAAAATAAAACAGGATATTTTATAATGCCTTGTCTTTTTTTTTTACAATTTTATTTTCATAGAAGTCTTAAAGAAAATATTCAGAACATTACATTGTTATGAAATAATCCATTACTTCAATATATTTTTTTGTTTTTTTTTCTAAGATTTCAGTTTTTCTAACCTTTATTTTCATTTCTAGAATATGGAATTGCTTTATTGATGAATTTATGTTTACGTACCAATGTGCTGTTATAGCTGAACAAACTATAACCGTACATTCAACATTATTGATTCATCCAAATCATGAAGAATATTTGTTTACTTATAATATAATATTAAAAATTTATTTTATTATAAATAGATTCGATCCATATGTGAATTCTTCATTATATTCAATATTAATTCTAAAATCAATACGTGATAAAACTATGCAACTTGTAAATTATTTTGGTTTTTTTTTTTCATTCAAAATCTATACATTAATTTTATAACAGAATCTTGATCAATGTCTTCGATATATTATGTAAACAGAAAAAACAAATTCTGAAATAAAAGGTCTATTAGAATTTTTACTTTATCTTCTATATAAAGGTGATGATCTATAATTAAATATTGAAAATAATTTTTTAATTAAAATATATGTTTTTTTTCTCTTGATATTCTATAGGAAGATCAATATACAACGGAAGTTGATTTAGATCTTGGTGTGATAAATTAATAAATTGAACATTATGCTTCTCAAAAAATAAAAAATTTTCAAACATCTTATAATAATATATTATATAGTTCATAAACAATTGATCCTATTGTTCATCGACCAATAACATCTGATCAATTACGTTATTCAAAAGTTACACATACAGTTAATTCTTTTGCAAAAAGTCTTTCAATTGGTAATACATACATAATAATCATAATGATGATGATGAAAATAAAATATTTACAGATTCAACAAAAAAAAAATCATCATCAGTTAAAAGTACACAAATAATAACAAATGATCAAGAAAAACAAAAACAAAAAAAAATTTTGATACAAATAATGATTTTGATTAATCAATAACTATACAAAAATCAACAACACCTATGAAATATTTCATTTAGTGAAACACATCGATCTAATTCAAATGAAATCTATGGATTCATCAGTATCATCTATTATTGAATTAAATAATGAAAATATAAAACAAACAATCTTAATATGTATTTTATATTTTATTTATGATAAAAATACATTTATTATATTTGTGTTTAAACCATAGCTGAACGAATAACGTCTTTAAAAAGTTCTTCTCGTGGTTGTCGATCATTTAATTCTTCTTGTTTTAATTCACGTTGTTGTGCATGTAAAGCTAATTGATTTTTTTATATCACTATTTACTTCATTAAGCATTTTATTCATACGAGTAGTGACCTTAAAGAAAAAAACAAACATATGTTAAATGATTGAAAATATTTTATTTCAGTTTATTGCTTTTATCTCTAATCTTACTTCGATTTTTTGAGCAAGAATAACTTCATATGATTGAATAACAAAACTTGATATTTTGTCAGGTTTTTTTTTGAACCAATACGATCTACACGACCAGTACGGTGAATATAATCCGATATAAAATGTGGAGAATCGAATTGAATTACATATTCAACCTTAATATAAAATCATAAATATTCTAAATACATACAATATTATTAAATGTTACTCAATAAGTATCAATACTACGTGAAATAATATTAGTAGAACACATTATATTATTCTTATCATTTCGAAATTGTACGAGATTTTTTGCACGTTTCTATAAAACAATAACAATCTATGAATGAAAATTGAATATAACTAACAAATAATTTATGCTCATTTAATGATCAGAAAAGAAAAATTATTGCAAAATCTAATTATTTTTTAATAATCATGTCGACAGTAACTATGATCACTTTTTAAACATCTACATGCAAAACATTTCTCATGTTCGTTCTTTTTTTTTTTTAATATCATTACAAGAAATGAAGAACTTCCTGTATCAGTCATTTGACTATGCCTAACAAGAATTTCTATACGTTGATCACGAAAGAATTGCTGAAGAAATTTTACTGTTTTTTTTTTATTATAAAATATTAAACAAGAATGTTTCTTCGCTAAATCATATTTGACTAATTTTAATAGAAGACCTAAGAATATTCAATAATAATAAGATTAAGAGTTTTTGTTTTAGTTTTAATAACGAACTAAGTTTTTGTTGATTACCAACACGATAAAATTTCTGAGAAACATGTGGCATAATATGATGTACAGATGAAGTTAACATTTTATCAATTTGATCAGACTATTAATGAAAATAAAATAGAATTATTTTATAAAATTATTTAAATTAATACGAATACTAATTAATTCTTTCAAACTTTCTTCAATCGTTATAGGTATTGTAGCAGAAATAAAAATAAGTTGTACAGCTGATGGAGCATTCTGTTTAAGATTATTTATTGGTTTTACATCAATCTATATTTTAATTTTAATTCATTTTTTGTTTCTGAATAATATTTATTATTTACTTCTAAACATCGAATAATTTCAACAATAGCAGAACTAAATATGATGTCAAGTAGAGTATCGACTTCATCAACGATTGCATATCGAAGATTACTATCGATTAAACGTCGTTCAATATCAAAATGTTTATCTAGATCAATTAAAAATCTAGAAAAATCTAATGATCAAATCAAAATTTACCTTGTCTCAAAAGTCGTAGTAAAATACCAGATGTAGAAATAATAATATCAACTTGACCAAGAGTAAAATTAGAGTGGATCCTATCAAAAACAACAATCATATAGATGTGTAAAAACAAAAGTTAACAAGAAAATCACTACAGACTATTCAAAAGTTTTGCATTGCGATGTTAAGTTTGTTGGGTTCAGACTCTATCTAAAGATGCATCATTAAAAATGATGAAACTTTCGTTCAAGAAAAAAAATTCTAAAAGCAGTTCTTCAAAATTTCCTCAAATACAAGCGATCAAAAATTAAGACGTGAACAGTCTTATTGAAAAAAAGTCAATTTTCATAATATGTCGTTTCATGAGAAGAATTCTTGAAGACTCTTTATCGAGAGAGAGAGATATATAGTAAAAATGTTTATATTTCTAAAAGATTATTTCATAAGACTTTGTCTAGTCGCACTTGATTGTACTCATTAAAAAAAGAAAAAAACATCAAATGCAAAATTACTGAATAACTTTTAGTGATATTATCATAAAAATAAATCAAGTACTTTATCTGTATTAATTCCGATTAAACTTCGTGTTCGAACATTTAATTCATTAAACATTTTTAACATATTCGAAAGGGAAAATTTTCTTTTTAGCAAAAAAATAAAGTTCTCAGTATTCTCTTACTTCAATTTGCATGAGTAATTCTCGAGTTGGTACAAGAATAATTGCAAACGGTACATTTTTCATTTGTGCTAAACGATTTGATAATTTTCAATGAAGAAGAGATTCAATAAGAGGTACAAGATATGTTCAAGTTTTTCCACTACCTTTTCAAGAACAAGAAAAAAGTCTATTTAAAATAATTACAGATTATTTTTTTCTTCTAACCAGTAACAACTGCTACGATCATATGACGAACTGTTCGTAATCCTGGAATAACACGTGATTGAGTTGAAGTCGGATTATGAATATTCACTTTTTTAAGAATTTCTACAAGTTCTGGTTTACAATCAAGTTGTTCAAATGTTTGTACAGTTGATTGAGTCCATCATGGATTTTTAAAATGATGATCAATAGTAAAAAAAAGTCACCTTTTGATAATCGATGTTGCCAGGCACCGGAAGCAACATCCTTTTCAGTCATACGTCGATATTGACGTCCTTTTTGAAAACAAAACAAAATAGAAGATTTTCTTTTATTAATAAAAACAAAATTTAGTCTTATAATTTTCAATGATATTAATAATAACAGCAAAACTTCTTTGATGAACTTGATTTCGTTACATATTGAAATTTGTCATAGAAGTTTGAAGTTCTGGCTAGCGATACATTTAATATCTTTCCTACTATGAATACTAGCTATAGTTCTGAACATAAACCCAATCTAGGTACAGAGTTTTTACACTCAATTGGTTAAACTCTCCATTATATATTAGCCAAAGAAACAGATTTATGTATCTTGGTTGTGGTTTATTAGATGTCGATTTGCTGAATATAACATGACGAATTTTATTTTCAGCTTAATGTTCATCTAGATGCATAGGATTTCGCCCATCCTTTCGCAGCACAGAATATGACAGATGCCGTCGATATAGAATCAAAGATAGTATATAAACAATGTTCTTTTATACTGTATGAAATATTTTCTCATTGTATTTCTTGAGTATTAGTGAAAAAGATAATGGTGAATGAGAGTTTTTACAATTTAATTCTATAGACATCGTGCTAATATATTATCTTAGAAGAATTCATAGCTTATAATTTGCCTGCATAATGATTAAATTCCAAACGTTTACAGACAATTCTATCTTACAAAAAACGTTTTTATAGAAATGATATTTTTACAAGTAAACTTACTCCAGATGGATCTTCTTCTTGTTATTTTTTTATAGATTTTCTTAGTTCGTTGTTGTTCGATATTTTTAATCATTGAATGTGGCACGGTTATTTGATTATGAGTTTTATTCAGATTCTATTTTATTATTTTAATAAAAAAATTTATTTATTTATTTATTTTTTGTTTTTGTTTTATTTCAACTTACAATACGATATGATGCTAAATTGATTAAAAATGCTTGATTGTGATTTTTTTGTTAAAGCAGAAAATAATCGTCGATCACAGACAATCATCTTCAATGTAAAGAAATAAAAATTTTTCTTTTCATTTCGTTTTTATTTTAACAAAAACAAAAAATATCCACACATATAGACGCAAATGCGTTATGATCAATACAATTAATTGAATAAAGAAAAGATTCTTTTGCTTTTAATTTTTAATTCAATAATTATTCACCAAATATTGAATAGTCATTTTAATTTTTTTTAATTTTTGATAAAAGAAGAATCTCAGAGACGCATCCCGATTTTCTATGATTCATCTCGAATCAGAATGCTAAATAGTATGTAGTCTTGTATAATCATTTGTGGTACATCGAATTCTATATAAGAAATCAAGTTTTACTCAAACTTTCATATGCTACGTTCTTATGATTCTTCAGGAATATAGATGGTACTCATAAACATTGCGTCATATAATACGTTCCAAGATAAACTTATGAAGAATTTATTTTTAAAGTATCTTGGATGAAGTTTACAACAAATAACAAAAAAGAAATAAAAATCCTTCAATATCAGCATGAACTTGAAGATCATTGTATATATTAATATCATTATGTTGTACTCATGAAGAATAAAACAATAAAATACATATAATAAGCATTAAGATCATGATGATATCTATAAAATACATATAAGAATGACTCAACCATATTATGTGACAAAAGTTTCACTAGAACTTCTTTAGATTAAGAGATCCCAAATTCACTAAAATATAGCAAAATATTGATACAGTGATGTTATCAGTATGCGTAATAAAGTTATATTGTGCTACAAAAGAACATTTTTTTAATATCCATTAACGTGTCGAACGTATAGTCATGAGTCAAAAANGTTATGACATATGAATAGAAAATTGGCAATGTAGAATATAATTGAATAAAGAAATGAAACTGAAAAAATCAAATGTCTTCTTTCGATTTCAACGATTTTGTTTTTGCCTACAGATACTAAATAGTATTGTAATGAAAACTCTAAAAGGGTTTACGTTTCTATTGAGATTTGACTAAGTTATCGATTTTTTTTTCTAGAGGCTCTAAGTTTTCAGAAAATTTATACGTATTTTCAAAGTCTATTCGAGATATGACACTTTCAAGATATAAACTCTTTTTCATGGAGTGTGTATATAACATGCATTTTTTGAAAGCTTCATGTCTCAAACAGATTTTATTCATAACTAGAAACTTCTTTCTGAGATAATTTTAATTCAGACGTCAAAACGTCTGCTTCATATTGAGCTACATAAATAAAAAACGAAGTATTATTATTATTTAAGGAACTAATTGTTTTATGCAATTTTAATTGAGCTTCGTTTAATTGTTCTTTTTAAATACTAACATTAACAGAAACAATCGAATCATTCGGTTCCTGTTTTAAATAAAAATTATTTCTTCTATTGATAGCTGACGTTCAAAATATAATTAATCGATATTTAGTATCACTCTCTATGATACATATGAAAATAACCACAAAACGATTTTCTTTAATCTTGAAAATGGGTATTTTCTGAACGAATGAACGACGCAAATAGTGTCAATACGAATAGCGTGAAAATTAGTTATTCATGTATTGGAAGAAAAATATAGAAAACAACAAGAAATTGAAATTTTTCAATTGACTAATGAAAATATAAAATGTTGACCTTGTTTAGAGATTTAACACCGCAAAATGAGATATAATAAAACTCATCTCAAGTCACAAAATAATGTCGTCTTAATTGTTCAGTGCATCAAATTTTCTTAACATTGATCGACAAAGAAATGATTTTCATTACTATTTAACTCAGTTAATAACTCGAGTAGATCTTCTTTGTTAGAGCCTTGCATCGAGTTGAGTTAGTAAACACACTGAAACGACAGTGCAGAGGAGCTGTTCAAAACATCCTCTGTAAAAAAAAAAAAACTTGTTGGACATGACCATCTGGCTGATCGAGGATTCTACTCTTCTTGATTCATGAATTGATTGTAAAAAGACTTTCTTCAAGCGGCTTACAATAAGCGACACATTATAGTCATTGATATATATCAGAAAAATGATTTAAAAACTAATATGTGTATGCAAAACACCAGTAAAATAAATTGAAATTGAGTTTAAGCATTCCTATCATTACTAAGACTGTTTGGTGTAGAAAGATAAAACAACAAAGAGAAAATCATCACTGTGAATCAGCTATGTAATCTTTTCGTCGATAAAGAATTGGATTGAACTAAAATTTTATACGCCGGTCTAAACCAGACCTAACTGACGTCAGGCAGATGCTTTCACGGTCACAGTAGGGTTTTCAAACTTTTATTTCATATGAAAAAGTATATTGTTTAATTTCTTTCATAAACAGCAACAAAAAAAAGCAAGTGATTCAGGATTCACTTGATGTTGTTCTGCTTCTAAAATTCGCTTAATTTCGTTAAGTATACGTTTGCTTGTTGCTGAAATAGAACGCATTATAATTGTAGATACATACATGAATATTTTTTCCATCACGATAATACATGTTTACATTCTTGATAATTTATTTCATGTATTCGGTTACTTCATCATACTTTGTGGATGAACTTTCATTACAAATAAATTCTCTTAATTGAGTGCAGAACATCCGACCTGGTTGCAGAACACCAGTTCTTAGTGGTAGCTAGAACACATTCAGTCAATTAGTCCTCAATAAAGCTGAGAAGTTTCATGAAAAAAGCAAATAATTGAGTTTATCTCTTACTATGATAGAATACCAACAAAGTTTAAGAGCCATTGGATTCTAAATTCTTTCGTATAAAGATATATAACAATAACATAGAACTAATCATCTTGTAATCTCACAACATATCAAGTTAATTAATCAAACTATTAATTCGTTTGTCTGTAGTCAGAACAAAATTTTTATCTTTATACATTTGAATGTCAATTTCATTTTACATTATACTAGACACTTCGGATCGCACATATTTTCTTCGTTTTATACTATTAGATGAATATTTCTATGCACAGAGATACCAACATCTGAACGAGTATGAT